TCCCACCTCCCCCAATAAAACCCCCCAACTTTTTAACCAGCTCCTTTTGGCCTTGAACCTCTTAGGAGGCCCATCTCACAACCTTACTCTAACTCGGGGCTGTCCAAGTTTGAAGCCACTGGGGGCCACACCAGCAGGGGTGAGGCGAGCCATGGGCCACCAAACCATACAGATGTTCCCCATGTGTGCACACACTGCTCTGCACACCCACTGCTTCACTGGACTGTGCACCCCCCCCCCACCCCCACTTCTGCACTGCCTGGGCACAATTCCCTCCCTCTCATTGCAGTGTGTTACCCTTTCCTTTCCTCTGCCCCCACTGTTGCCCCATGTGGGTGTGATTTCCCCCTGCACAGCTGTGTGTGTGTGGCCTGGACTCACCCCTGGCTCCCCTTGCTGCACTGCCCTGGAGCAGGTGCAGGAAGTAGCTGCTGGAGGAGAGGGGGGACCCCAGAGATGCCGGCTGCTAATCCACTGCCCTATTTGTCCCCATGTCTATCTACTGGGTCACATTAGATCAGATCTGGCCTCCACCCTGTGAGGCAGCCCAGATGACCTGCCAGTGAGGACATCAGCCTAGGACTCGGGGGGAAATCCAGATTTAAGCTGCTGCCCTGCCACAGCCTTCACACATGACCCGGGGCATGTCAGTCTGTCTGGGCCCTCGGTTCTTCATCTGCTAAACTGGGATAACAGTCGCTCCATTCCTCACGGGGGGGTGTGAACATGAGCATATCAACCGTTGCAAGCTGTCTGGATACTGCACTGCGGGTGGGCACACGAGTACCTCTTTGACCGCTTCTATTCTGAACCGAGTTGGTCAGACCGCTGGGACGTGAACACGATGTCCACACACAAGGTCTTGCAATTTCTGTAGCTTAAGCCAACACCTTAGCAACAAGAAAAGGAGGGCTGGGGACAGGTGCTGAGCAGGTGTGCCCCAGACAAAAGGGCCACCTGGCACTTGTGGTGAACTTCCCCTACAATGCCCCATGAGCATGCCCTGACCCAGATCTAGAAGTCCAGTGATGGGAAGTCAGTCCCATTTAGTTGACCTAGGAGATCAAGCTAATGCCATATGTAGGAGTGGGGTTTAGTGATTTGGGCACTCATCCGTCCACTTCCCACCCAGCACTAAGAGCCCAAGCCAGGGCCTTTCTATACAACCATCTGAATGCAAAAAGAACAGGGTGGGTTACATTGCTCTTGGTGCCTTGGAGCAACATGCCCCGTAGTTGTGTGATGGGATTGATTTCTGTGCAGTTCTATGAACAGACTGCACAAGGATTTGCATGGGGTGGTTTGGATCGGGGTGATCCTGTCTCGAGAAGGGGGTTGGTCTAGATCAGCCGTTCCCAATCTGTAGTACGGGTACCACCAGTGGTACGCAGACACCCTGTGAGCGGTACGCGTTAACAGACTTATTATAATGATTTGATGTGACAAAAAAGTGCTGGTGGCACTTAAGGTTGTATCGTTTCAAATTGGCGGTGTGCAATCTGTCAGAGTTTGGGAACCGCTGGGCTAGGTGATACCTGGAGGTTTCTTTCAGCCCTGCTTTCCTGCGGCAGCAACTCTGTTTAATAGCAGCTGGTTTTTATTTGCTTCAGGCCCAGGCTTAGATGAGTCTTAGGCATGGCTCTTTGAGGAGACATCCTTGCTGAAAGTGGGGACTGGAGGGAGAGGGGGAGGCCTGGCCTGGAGAGACACCAAAGCGGGAGGGGGTGAAAGCAGCATGCAGCAGCTGTGCAGGACAACGCTGTTGCCAGACCAGGCGTGATGGCTTTCGTGATTCATCCTCCCTCTCGCCACCCCCTGTACATCATGGGAGCGGGCCCCAGCACCTTCCCTTGAACTCCAGGAACATCTGCTGCCTGCTCAGCGGCTCCCTGCCTCCTCTCGCTGACGCTTGTCCATGGTGCTGAAAGCTTCAATAGTTTCAGGGGGCCCATCGCATCCTCCTGCGGGGGACCAGGGATGCTCTGTACCAACCCACCATCCCCTTGAAGGAGCAGGTCTAATGGAAATGGCAGATCTGTGTTACGCTGGCTGGAGCGAAGCAGGCACGCGCCGTCTGTTTGCTGCCGGAGCTGACGCTGAGCTCAGCCGCAGAGAGGCTTTCCTTCCTGGCACTGTGCAGGGTAGATTTGCACTGTGTGGACTAACTAAATCAGTGATGTATAGCATAAGCTTTTGTGAGTGTGAGCTCACTTCATCAGAAGCTATGAAAGGACACGCACGGAGCCGTGCATCAAATTCAGGAAGGACGTGGAGAAGCTTGAGAGAGACGCTCGTGATCGGAGGGCAAGAGAGCAGGACTTATGAAGAGAGGCTGAGAGCCACGGGACTCTTCAGCCTGGAAAAGCGCAGGCTCAGGGGGGACTCGGTGGCATCCTATAAGTACATCAGGGGCGTGCATCAGGATCTGGGAGAACATCTGTTTGCCAGAGCGCCCCAAGGGATGACAAGGACCAACGGTCACAAACTCCAAGACCATTTTAGGCTGGACATAAGGAAAAACTTCTTTACTGTCCAAGTCCCTAGGGCCTGGAATAGACTCTCCCCAGAGGTGGTGCAAGCAAATACTCTGGACACTTTAAAGAAACATTTTGATGCTTATCTTGCTGGGATCCTTTGACCCTAGCTGACTTTCTGCCCCTTGCACAGGGGGCTGGACCCGATGTTCTTGCAAAGTCCCTTCCAGCCCTAATGTCTATGAAATACAGAAACTTGCGTACAAAAGATGGGGAAAGAGGGGCACAGTGCTGGAGGGGATAGTGTATGTGTGTCTAGGTGAGGGCTGGGAGTTAGACGGGATGACCCATTGCTGTTGGTTTAGATCTGCTGGCCCAGAAAACTCTTTTAGGGCCGCATTTTTTGTCCTGCAGCCTCATAAATTGGCTGCAAAACTGCAGGGGCAACAGTGCTGCATTCAAGAAGGCCTCTTTATGTGCATGTAAGTAGGTGGCTGGGGGCAGAGGATGGGATGGAATTCACCCAATGTACGGCGGCACATGCAAGAACTACACGGCACCTATGTGATGCGTCAACACCTTTGGGCCTCCATGGGTCTCCAGGTGGCGTGGAGGTGACCGTCATGCTAGCCCTCTTCGAAAGAGGCATTGCACCCTCTGTGTGCAACTTGCATGCACCGACAAACTTGGCACATCAGCCCCCCGAACACATGGATCCAGCCCTGCCTGTTCTGGGGGTGGAAGCTGCCATCAGCATTAGCTTTCTCAAGACTGTTTGTCTCGGTGCGTGAATTGGATCAATCTTTCCAGTTTCTTTTCACTCTCGGACCCTTCAGGAGGCCTGGGCTCTGTCTCCAGGTGGAGCTTTGTTTTTCTGTTGGGGTTTTATTATTTTTTTTTGGATATTCTCTTTGCCTGGCTCGGGGATAATTATAACCCTTCAGAAACCTCTCCAATGTGCGAGGCTTGCAAGCTCCAAATTAATTCCTCTTTATATAACATCTCTTTACCGAGCCACAAAATGCCAAGAAGAACCAAAATTAAAAAAAAAAAAAAAGCAATACTTGAAAACGCTGGGACTAAAATGGGTTTTCCGGTTTTCTTTAAACAAAAAAAAAATCTATTTTAAGCACTTAAATTTCCCTGAGCCGGAACATTTTGACATTTTTTTTCCCTCTGCATTATATTCCTCCCTCCTCCTTAACATTTACTATTAAGTTTTCAGTGAGAAGCAACCACAGCTAGATGAAAAGGGGGCTAAATCCTGAGAAATGTTCTCGCTATTTGTCTTGGCAAAACTCCCACTGAATTTAGCAACTTCTCTCTGCTGGAGCAACGGAGCTCTTTTGCAATTGGAGTAAAGGTTTTCTGTGCAGGGGGAACTGGTTTGAGACTGGGGGGTGAGCAGGCACAACCTTGCTACTGTCTCGGGGCCAGGTGTACAGAGCAACATGACGTAAAAGAAAATACCCAACTAGAACAAGCCATTCCAATGTACAAGCTTTTCGGGGGAGGGAGAGGGCAGGAGAAGAAACTGGAGACAAAAATACCATATTTTCTCACATGCAACATTCTCCAGAATAAAATATGCACCCTCATTTTGAAGGGCAGAATGAAGAAGGGGAGAAAAAAAGCTTTTTCTTTTTTATAGTAAGTAGCAGCAGGTAGGCGCCTGGCTTGCTCGCTCTTCTCCCTATGCAGCACCAAGTACAGAGTTGCTTTCACTTTCTCCCAGCCCAAAGAAACTGCTGTGACTGAATCTCCTCTCATAATATACAGCCCAATTTCCAGCATCTGATTTTTGGGGAGAAAAAAGTCAGGTGTGTGTTTATACGCAAGAAAATATGGTATTAGTCTTGTTGCTCAAAGCACAATAGAAAGGTGCTCAGATGCTGTGGTGCTGGCTGCAGTGTAGGAGCAGAGCAGGGGTTTGCCCCCTGGAGATGCCAACCTTGGGATTTGGCCCTAAATTTCTCTCGAACTCTTCAGCCACACAACTCCCATCCTACAGGCCAAGTTCCACTGATGGGCCCCAGCAGTTGGACCCTGCCTGGAGACTGCAGAGTGCCCTGACAAGCCAGCTATAAATGGAAAGGCAATGCATCGCTAGCATGGGTCCGCACTGCCCTGTAAGGGAACTCCCGAGCCAAACAGTGCTCGCTGCGGTTACAATGGGCATTTGTACATGTGCTCTGGGGGGGAGAGGGGGTGCTTTAATTAAAGTGGCTCTCGAAGCCGTTCTAATTGAAGCACCTGGAGCATCACGTGCATCAGCATCCCCATGCTGAAAAATGGCGGCGGGGGTACTTTAATTAAAGTTTGTCGAATGAGCTTTACTTAAAGTGCCCCCGCTGCCACTTTTCAGCACAGGGACGCTAATACACATGACACTGGAGTTTGCTGGAACGCAGTCATTGCCATGCCCCAGCAGAGCTGATTAACTGAATCTGCTCCGACGCACTCCAACCGTGTAAAGCAAGGACCTCCCCCCTTGCCCCAGCTCTGCCCCTTGCCCCATCTTCTTACCTGGCTGGTTGAGCTGCAGGGTGCTCTTGCTCCATTGCGACAGCCCCACGATGGCCACCATCTTGGCGCCCAGGCTGGAGCGCCTCTTCTTGTTGGAGGTTATGCTGGCCGAGTCGACATTGCCCCCGTTGCTCTTCTCGATGTTGTACATCTCGCCGCTGATGCTGGAGCTGCGGACCACGTTCCGTGCCGAGGAGGAGCTTGTCTCCCCGTTAAACATGGTCGGCTACTTGCTCTCCGTCTTGGGGACTCCTGGGTGAGGTCTGCTCTGCAGGGAGACGAGAGGAATCGGTTATGTTTCGCCATGCAGCAACACGGCACAGCACCCGGGCTCGCAAAGGGAGCTTCCCTCGGCACTGCAGGAGGAACAGGCAGGACCGTGGAAAGGAAGTCTGCACTGATGGCAGAAGGGCATTGCCTTTGAGCTGTTGGTGGCACTTGCTTTAAGACCAAGGGAGCAGGAGTTGGGCAGTGACCTCCATGGTGCAGACCCATCACAGGGAAACTTCCCAAGGGCTTTGGTCTGTAAACCTTGAAAGAGGATGCAACTGCTACCCGCTTCATCGGGTCCCAAAGGCTGTCAGGCCCTGGGTGCTGCAGACACATCCAAGACATGGTCCCTGCCTCTGAGTGCATACACCCTGGATGGATCGTAACACCCGCTTTAGAGAGGGGAGCTGAGGCCCTGAAATGACTTGCCCAAGCAGGGGGTCAGTGGCAAAGCTCAAAACTGAACCCCAATGTCCTGAGTCCTAGCCCAGGCTGTAACTATGAGATCAGCCTTGCCCTAGAAAGCATCTGGCTCCAGATGTTCAGAGTCCCAGCAGCCTTGGTCCTAGACTTACCCCCACCCCAGACCCCTGCTGTTAGCCCAGCCCTGGGCAGGATTCAGGACTTTGGTTTGCATTTGGGTTCAAGCCTGCCACTTGGTGTGAAAGGCAGAAAGTTCAGCCCCATGTTCACCCAAACCAAGCTTATCACGTGCCCTTCTAAGCAAACCCCAGGACCCCGGCAGGATTGGCATTGCAGGGCCCCAGGAAGGGTGTGAATCACTTGACCGAAGAGGGGCCCTGGCTCCCTGCAGTGCCAGGGCACCAGCACCTCTCCTGTATGGAAGGGGAGTCCTGGGTGAGCACGGGGGCTTTGGCTTGGTGCATTGGATGTGGCATCCCTCCAGCTGGTCCCCAAGGCCCCCTGGCAGAGGCTCACAGACGCAATGTAATTGCTACCGCAGCTCGGGGGGGTTCTGGCCCCCCAGGCGCTAGGGATGTGGATGGGGAGAGAAGTCTGGAAGCTGGCAGCCTGCGCTCACCCAGGCTGGCAGGGTGTGGGGGAGGGCTTGTGTGTAGGAAATCTTATCGAAGCACGTCAACCGAGCAGCTTTGCAATGGCAATTGTCAGGGGAGAATGAAAGCCTGCAGTACGGGAAAGCGGCTTGCACACGCGCATCCTGCCATCTTGACTGGGCTTGCCAGCTCTGCTCCCAGGACACCTCCTCAGCCAGCAGTCCCAGACGCACCGCAGGGGCCAGGGCATGGGGAGGTCTCCTGGTCCCAAACTGCAAACCTCCAGAGCTCAGGGCAGCGTCTGCATTCATGGCTTTCAAACTGGAAGAGCCAAGCGCAGTGACAGTCACTAAAAATCTCCTGCAGTTTTCCCCTTCTCTCCCCAAACCAAGCCTGCTGCAAACCCAGGTGTCCTGGCCAAGCTGCTTCCTGCCTCCCTTGTTCCACTTTGCAACATTTCTGCACATTCACTTCTCAGATGACTTGTATTGTAGACTAGAGTGACTTTGCAATGCTACAGCAGCGGCCTGGTTCTACCCCAGAGGTGGCTGCATTTCGCTCGGACAGAAAAGCCCCTTGTCCTGACATGTATGTGGGATGAGTGTTGGTTTTGCTAGTGGTATTTTTTTGGTGGGAGAAGGCAGGAAGGGATGGGTGGTTTCAGGCAGACAGCGTTATTATTCCTCAGGAGACACAGTTTTACACGGGGTTTCAAAGCCCTTAGTAAAATTGGCCCATCCATTCATCCCTGCCGGTCATTGCTTCTAGCTTAGCCTAAATGGACAGTGCAGAGGTCTGGGGGCTGCTGGACAGAGAAGCAAAGGGCAGCCCTGGGTGCCCCTTTCCTTGGCCCTGTGGCCCACACTGCACCTTCTGATCACAGCAGCTCCTCGCTCCTGGATGGGCTGCCTTGGTGCCAGTTTTTAGCAGGCTGCCTCTCCTGGCCTGTATGCTCCAGCTGCACCATTCCAAGCCCTGCTCATCACAGCTGTGAATTGTAGGTGGATGCGATCCAGCAGTAAGAGAGAACTTGGCAGCGCAGTGGCTTGGAAACGCACGCCTTTCCTCTCGGGAGGTGCAAGTACTGCGCTGTCACCAGGAAGAAAAGGGGTTCAGTGCACTTGGTGTGGTCCCTGCAGTGCTGCCCACACCCCAAAAATACAGCAGATCATGCTCTGGAGGGGCCTGGAATAGCAAGGGAGGCTGCAGGGTGGGTTGGAGGGGCCCTGGCAGACCGGTGGGGAGTATGAGGGACACTGTTAGAGCTGGAGGATATGGGGGAAGGGACTTCCATCCACTTTCCCCGCAGGGCTCCTAGCTTGAATGAGCCCTGCATTTTCACACGTACCAGATCCATCCTCAAAAGGCTGGGAACAAATGATACAGGAAGTGGCAGAGATTTGTTTTAATTAACAAGGCCAGACAAGCGAACACGCACGCACGATAATGACCCCACGCCTCCCTCGCTGCACCAAAAACCCCAATTACTGCTCAAAACTGCAACCGTGTCTCTTCCCTGAAACTGCTATCTGTGCGCACTCCTCTGCGCTTTCATATTTTTGTGACAAATGCCATCTACCAGACCCTGTTAAATCTAATCCATGCTGTGCTGATGAGCTAAGCCAGCCAACAGCTCTCATAGCTCTCAGCGAGACAAAGTCACCGGGGAAAACATAATATCACCACGCAGGCACAGATGCTATTACCGATGCCCTGATCCTGTGGACAGATGCTGCTGAGTCGCAATGAAGTCCATAGGGATCCATGCAGGGGTGGGATCCTGCCCATGCAGATTCAACTGCAGGATCAGGGCCCAGAGTTGCAGAGCAGCCTGGCTTAAGAGCTCAGCTCCCAGCCTCCCATGTAACCCTCTGAGATTTAAACACCCCTCTCTGGGTTGTAACCTTGTGTGTTTGATTTGGGCCCAGAAGTGAGTCTTGTCAAAGGTGGAGGGAGATCCTCCCGGCTCATCTGGAGCCATCGTGGTGCTAGAGCCGCAAGGCATTTGGGGGTGCGGTACAGGGGGAGGAGAAGGGGGATACACCTCCCAGAGAGCCCTCCTGCTTCACATCAATGCTGGGACCATGGGAAAGCCTTAGCTTAGAGGAGGACTTGCAAGATCTGACTCTACCTCGGGAGGGTCCTTTGGTCTCCTTTATTTAGACCTTGTTTCCATGTCTGCTTCCCTCCCTGCTTAAACCGGAGCCCCATGCAGGATTCATCCAGCCGGAGAAAGAGGATGCAGACACAGCGTGACACTGCAGCCGAGCTCCTGGAAGGGGCTGGGGCGAGTCTGGCCTTCCAGCCCCTGCTCCCAGTATGGTTTCTGTACGTTACATTAAATGCCCATGGGGTCAAAACAGAAGCAGTCATTGAATCATAGAAAATTTAGGGTTGGAAGGGGCCTCAAGAAGTCATCTAACCCAACCCCCAAATTAGGGTTGGAGATTAAGGACCAGAACCCAGGACACCCCTTGCCCATACAAGTGTTTCTTCTCACAGACACATTCCTTCTCTCTTTACAGATCCACAGCGCTTGCGTTTCTCTTGCTTTCCCAGTGGAATAGCGTCCCCGCACCCCAGCATGGCCCAGCCTTTGGGCAGGGCACTCTGCAGGGCAAGGGAGAGATGCCTGTTGGTGGCAAAGGATGGACTTGAACCCAGGGGTCTTGCTTTCAGGGCAAATGCTTGATACTTAGTTATTACCCTAGAGCAGGAAGGACGGCAGTGGTGTCACCAGTGCCAGCTGCCATGTTTTAAAAGAAAAGCACAAGCCCTGTTGTGTGCATCTCTAGGTGGAGGAGCCTGAGTTCAGAAGAGGGCTCCAGGCCGCAGATCTTTGCCGGCCAACTGGGCTGGGTCCCATTCAGAGATGTGTAACTCTCACCATGCATTGAATAGGGAGAGTAGGTACGTAATACCGGGTTCCAGCTTTCCCCTCGGTGACTTTATGGGGTTTACTGAATCTGGCCCAAAGTCGCTTTTGAACGTGGGACTCAAGTCTTTTAATAAGAGGAGATAAGCAGCAGGGAGACCCTACGGATCTATTCCTGATCCCACCGTGGATCTGCTCAGCCCTCCTGACATGAGCCAGCCTTGCGTGGCAAGAAACACGGTCAAATGTCCACCGGCTCTGGCATGTGTTGAGCGGTGTCAGCCTGGAGCGGCCTCACACACTCCAAAGTAGAAAAGCTTTGAATGAGGCTGGGACTCCAAGCGCTTGATTCGTATGACTGCCCGTGCCCTAAATAACGTAGAAGCTGGAAATACTACCCAATAACTCCTTTCTCCCACCTGTGCCTGTGTTGTCCCTGGATGAGTTTGTTTCTCTGTTTAGCACATAGCACAGCAGGGCTCTGATCTCTGCCAGGGCCCCAAAGTATTGACTGCAATCACTTATGAATACTTCAAACAACCGGGCACGCAGACCTGGAGCGCGGTAGGCAGCCAGCCCTCAAAGAACAGAATTAATTACGAAGTGAGAGCTGACGACAGGGGCGTTTGCACAGGTGCACCCAACAGCCTTAATTAATTTTTTCGAGTGGCATTTGTAAAGAAGCGAGCGCGCGAAGGACTTGCTGCTCGGTGTGGGCTCCGCTGCTAGCTGCACCCAAATCACTTGGGTTCCAATGGATCAACACCAAACAGGCTCCAGGTCACCGTGTATCTGCAGGGTTGTTGGTTCAGCTAGGAGAGGAGGCTGCCCAGGAGAAACGGGGTTGAGATGATGGCAAACTCTCTGGAGTAAGGCCTACGCTTGGTTTGCAGCCAGCAGTGTCCAGAAGTTTGCCTGCCTCTATTCTCCTACGTCTATACCAGGCCCTGAAGCAAATGTTACTGGGAGGCTGTCCCATTGGGATGTGAGGACTGTGCATGGGAGGAGGTTTCAAGCAGTGCAGGCAAGCATAGTGCTAAGTGACTCCCTGGGTTTAAT